TCTTGGCATTCTCACATGCCAGATTAGCCTAACCAAAACCAAAGTGGTAATCCTGTAGATTGAACATAACCAACGCTGTCCCTTCTGTAGTTGGTTTGTTTAGTACGTTTCTCATGGCTGTGACCTGGTCCCCAACTAGAAGCAGCTGAAGGGAGGAGGGCTGTACTCTGGCTCTCAGTTTGAGGGGTACAGTTTGTCATGGAGGTGAAGGCGTGACAACAGCGGCTTTCCAGTGGTGGATGCCACAGGAAGTGGGACTGGGATGAAAAAGACCTCAAGTTCTTATTCTGGTGGTTAACCCCCTACAGCAAGCAGAACTATCGTCAGGAGACCAAGTGTTCAGACAGATGAGCTCATGGGGCATTTTATGTTCAAATCACAACACGCTTCTACCTCTTTCTGGGGTTAGAACTTCTGCAAGCAAAAGAAACACTTTATTGTTCTAAGCTGTTTTGAGTTTTTGATCCACATAAACTGGAGCTTGCAGATTCACAAAACCTGGGCACCCATACAGGTCATGCCTTCCTTTTGGTCCTTTGCAACAACATGTGATTCTAAGTTCACAGTCTTCCAGTGCCTTGATTTCACAACTCACAGCCACTGGCTTTAAGAAACACCATCACTTCAATACTCTGATAGTATTTGCAAGTCTGACAAAGGTTGAAGCTAATTAGCTTTCTCTATGTTTGATAGGATTTGTGTGTGTGTGTGTGTGTGTGTGTGTGTGTGTTTGTGTTTGTGTGTGATGTACCCATGTGTACATGTTTGTATGTGCATGTGTGTGGAAGTCAATGTTGAGTGTCTTCTTCAATCACTTCTTCCACCTTAATTTTTGAGATGTCTCTCACTGAATCTGGAGCTTACCACTTCATCTAGAGTACCTGGCCAGAGAGTTCCAGGGATCCTTCTATCTCTGCCTCCCATCCTTGGGATTTCTGGGCACACACTACCAGGCCTGGATTTATGTAGATCCTGGAGTCTGAATTGAGGTTTTCATGCTTGTGAGAAAGACACTTTTCTGACTGACCCATCTCTCCAACCTCTTCCATGATTCTTGAGGCAACTTCATTGTCTTTCTATTTGATCCTCTACTCTGTTACATAGTTCATTTCTAAATCTTTGCTGTCTTTATTTTCTGATCCTCCCGATGGACTTTTGTCTTGGTTAGCCACTTCCTCAGCCTCCCCCAAAGTTTGTTTCTAACTTTCTTCAGTAATATCTTTGTAAGATGGCAATTCTAAGTTCATGCTACCCTTCTCTGGGTAGGGCAGGGCTATGCCTGTTTTCTTTTCTGTTTTGAATCCTGTATTCTTCTCATATCTTTATCTAGTCCCAGGCTAGTGTGAAGCTAAAGACTGAGTTGTTGGTGAGTTTAAGAACAGAATGAGGCCAAGTGGTTGCTGCATGGTGGTCAGCGGGGAGAATGAACAAAGAGGAGGAAGGCAGGGGTCAGATCATCTTACCTTTTAGCCACTGACTAGTTTTCTTCTAAACCCTTTGGGAAGCCACTAGAGGGATTTACATATAGGTGTAGTAGTAACTAAATTACACCTTCAAATATTCCTCTGGTTAATTCTATGTGGAGAATGGATTGAAAGGAAGCCAGTGTAAAGTGATGGTCTGGGAAACTGTTGCTAGAGTCCTTAGAGACAGTGATGCCTGGGCCTAGATGACATAAAAGGTGTCATGGTGCTGTGGTAATAATCTGGAAGGCTTAGTGCTTGTGACCCAGTTGTCAGAAGGAACTCTGCCACTGGCTAAGGACAGGAGCGTTCACACTCACCAATCCTTGCCTGTCCTTGCCATTGGTTTGTGTAGATCTTCCACTGGAAACCAGAGTGAAGCTTGTCATTGTCCTGCATTTTAGGGGAAATGCCAGCATTACTCACACCTGCTCTGTGCCTTTACATATGTTTCTACCATTCTTTGTTGACTGCCTACTTCAGAGAGGCCGAGGAAGTGGCCAGTCAGGTAGGATCAGAAAATAAAGACAGTGAAGATTTAGAAATCAACTATATAACAGAGTAGAGGATCAGCTAGAAAGGCCAACAATAATTCCTGGCTCCCCATGACTACCCTGGTGTGGACAGGCATCAAAACTGCTCTGTACACACACAGATGGATATCGTCTATTGTCACTAGGGTGCTGGTAGTTACCAGGTATTTGCAGTTTTGCCAGGGATGCTCTGTGTCTCATAACCTCATATCCCAGCCTACGTCTCTGTACCCCACCAACACTGCATGCCTCCATTATTGTTTTTCATTTGCAGAAATGCTGAGGATATGCCAGTAGACTCATAGATCACAAGTGTATCCATTTAGCCACAATCTTTTCAATCATATTTTTCTGTTTCTCACACTTTCAAAATTCTCAAACACTTTAAAGCACAAGGAAAATAAAATAATGAGATAGAGTTTATCCCAGATGAGAGTTCCCTCACTAGGGACCCACGACTGACCTTGGCATATGAAAACTATTCTTTCAGACCTTCTGAAGGGATGTAGAACTTCTGCATTGTCACCCACTTGAGTGCCTGTGGCATCCTCAAGTCACTATGGAAGCCCAAACACCTAATATTAAAATATGAATTAATTTCTTTCATTGATTTCTTATATAACCAGTGTACAGTACTGGCTCATTGAACAGTACCTCAGATGAATTCCACTTATAGCTTCATATCATTAGGTCTATAAAAATAAGTGCATAGGGATATTTATATTTTCACACAACTGCAGTTATTAAAAGATAAAATTTTGGTATTAATACATGTGGCTTAAAATGGGATCATTGAGAGTGGGAGGGAGTGGGAGGGTAATTGGATGAATATGATCAACATAGAAGCAGATATGAAAATGTAGTGAAATCCATTAAGTATAATTAATATATGTAATAAGTTTTAAAAATGTTTAATTAAGTTTATAAATAAAACTAAATAGTAGAGAGGACATTAAGATCCATCTTTTTTAAAATCCCCTTTTGTAAAAGATACATATTGAAATATTTACAGGAGAAATGAAATTTGTTTTAAGATATCCTTATGGAGAACTCTGAGGAGACCAGATAATATTACATAAAAATAGTAATAGCTTGAAGCTAGGTGACAAGTGTGGAGGGTTAGATCTTAGTCTCCCCATGCTTAAGTATGTTTGAAATTTCCAATTGTCCAAAGCAATGGTCATTACAGTTTTCTTCTATCATCTTTCTTCCCTCTTTTTTAAATGATGCTGCTGCTGTGTAGCCCAGGCTGGCCTGGACTTTGATATCCTCCTGCCTCACCTTCCCAAGTCTGAGATCATAGGCAGGACCCTGTCTGGCCTCTGTCTAGGCTGCTTGGTGACTTAGGCACAGCTGTGTGTAAGGGCTTGTGCCCCAGGAGTTTGACTCCCTGGAGACTGTGCAAAGGGTTTAATCTTTCTAATCCTCAATTTCCTTATTTGAAAAAGGGAAGGGATGGAACAGGAGAGCAGAGTGTATGTATGTATGGTAGACTAGTGTTGACCTCAGGGATGCAGTGGAGAGAAACTATCTCAGATAAAAAAAAAAACAACAACCAAAATAACAAAAACAAAAAAACAAAAACAACCAAAGTACAAAGTACACGCTCTATGTGAACACTTTTTTTAAAATTAGCCAAACATTGTTCACAGCCTTCTCCTTGCAAGCATACTGTCTCCCACTTTGAATCTAGAGCTTTCATTTGAAGCTACATTCTTGCTGTGATATCATACTGAAAAATTCTCTTTGGAATTCTGAAGTAGCCTCTTGTCTTGGTGTCAGGCTTTTAGCTCAGAGGCTGGTGTCACACCCATCCCTGTTGGTAACTGGAACCTTCTTGGCTTGTTTGGGCATGAGTGAGGAAGAGTCCTGGTTGCAGATGCTAAAATGATTGCCTCCATTCATTGTAATTCACACTTACAGGGCAGGTAATTGGAGTTTAGACAGATCATCTCTCACTCACTTCATTGCCTGAGTTCTTCATGTCTAAGCTGTGTGTGCTGGCCATGGCCTTTCAAAACTAATAATCCAGAAAGGCAAGTTTTCATGTAGTCCAAGACACCATAGAAACATAGAAAATACTACTGTATAATTATAATTGTGTCGAAGATATGTCTGTTTAAATTTATAATGGGAATTTTCTCTAGACTATCAATGATTTCGTCACTCAGGTATCACCAATGAAGAGCACCATTTTTTGCCTTGTATTTTATACCTTGTATTTTCCATATTTTCCCTGAAGCATTGCCCACTCTAAGATAAGCATTTTAGTGTGCTGTTTTCTTTAAACTTGCCTCTCTGGAGGGCTTTGTTTTCAAAGTGAATTAAAAATCTGGGATTTATTTAAAGCCTTCAGGCTGCCCAAGGTGTTCTAGGAGATTTACAACCTGATTTTCCCACCGCTTGCCTGGGATTATGTCACTATCCCACAAGGTCACCTGGGGGCTAGCTTCATAGGGAAGGGAGAGCTGGATTTATGACTCAAGTAAGTATTAAGAATAATATATTAATGTGATTATTGTTGTATGTGCCGCAATCTCTTAGTCTTTAAAATGAGAGCACTGGGTACAGAATTAACACAGGTGGCTGCTTTTAGTTCTAAATATTAGACCCATTAAAACTATTTAATACCTCTTGTATAGTGTGGTATGGTGGTGACTGAGGGAAGGTAGCCCCCCTCTCAGTCCCAGGGCACTTCATGTCAGAGGGATACTGTCCAAGGGACAGTGGAATTCAGTCTTAGCTTTTACAGATTCTGATAATATAAAACTCAGAGTTAGTATGAGAGAAAGCAATTTGCAAAGTGAGTGCATTTTGAACCAAAGCTCTAATGTTCTGGTGGTTCTGGTTATAGAACTACACAAGATTAAGGAGTGTCCGAGACACTCTAGTGCAAGGCTGCTGCCTCCAAGGGTGGACTCTGGTTGAGTCTCTCAATTTGGGGGTGGCTCTGGTGGTTTTAGAATACCAGGTCTTGGACAACAGGCATCTTCTTTTTCTGCAGGTTATACTGGAGAGCTTTGCCAGTCCAAGATTGATTACTGTGTCCTCGATCCTTGCAGAAATGGAGCCACATGTGTATCCAGTCTCAGTGGGTTCACCTGCCAGTGTCTGGAAGGTAAGATTTGTAACTCTTGGGAAGCTTTTCATTTTCCATTTTAAATCATAAGCCCTTTTGATCAGTTTGGTACTTTCAGTTTTTAAACATTCCATACAAGAGAAACACCCCCCCCACACACACACAATTTATAGAGCTGAACCAGAATATGATCCCCTCAGTTTTATTCTTTTATTTATTGAGAAATGGTCTTGTGCAGTCCAGGATAGTCTAGAACTTGTTATGTAGCTGAATATGACTTTAAATTCTGGATCTTCCCGCCTCTACCTCTTGAGTACTGAGATTATAGGTATGCATCGCCATGTCCAACATGGGTTCTCTTTACTGCTGTGTTTGGAAAATAGATACAATCTGTAGATGTAACAGTCTTATTAAATAAGAACCACAGAGGCAAATGCAGAGTTAAAAGCCCAAGAGGTCAGAGCAGTAACTAAGAGCTGAGACTTAAAACCCTTTCTTACCCTTTACTGCCACTGCCGTCCTTCCCCTGAGAAAGAGACCTACTTCCTGTGTGTCTGTCTTTTTATTGACTTTCTGTTCTGCCTTCTCATTGGTTGTAAACCCAACCACATGACCTCCTCATCATTGCCTGTCTATACAGACCTCTAGGTGTCTATGGTTGGTATTGAGATTAAAGGCATGTGTCTTCATGCTAGTGGTGTCCTTGAACACACAGAGATCTGCCTGTCATGTGATTGGGATTAAGGGCGTGTGCTACCACTGCCAGACTTCTGCTTTGGCTTGCTATTAGCTCTGACCCCCAGGTAACTTTATTTATTAACATACAAATAAAATCACACTTCATCACAAATAAAATACCACCATATTTCCCCCTTTCTTTTTTAATAAAAAGAAAAAAGGAAAAAGTTATAACTAATATAAGAAAAACTATATATAAAAATACAATAACTATATACAATATATACAAGCAATAAATACCTAAACTATGTCTAGTCCATTTGCATTTGAAAAATTCAGAGAAAATACTTCTATTATCTATCCTATTTTGGTGAGTCCAAAATGTACCTGATTCACTTTCTACCCTAACTTATATTACTAACAGAACTATCTCATAATGTCTTTCAAATTTATACACTTACACCCCTTTAGTGAGTTTCTTTTCTGAGATTCTTAACAAGGAAAACTATAACTATCTAATCTTTAACTAACACTATCTAATCTTCAACTCCCTTAGAGACCCAAGAAGGAAATAATATTACCTAACAAAAATAAAAACAGGAAGTACATGCAAGCAGCTTCCAAAAAAAAAAAATGTGAGTTGACAGAAACAGCCAGCTGCCTGGACAGTCACCCAAGGTTTCTCCGCAGTGTTGGAGCATCATCTTCAGACTATAGGCTTAGCGTATCTGACAGACTTGTTTGTGAAGTAGGATGTACACAAGGTCAACAGTTCAACCTCACATTGGATGAGAGCAGTCTATATACCAGAAACACCTGAATTCCACTAGTGTCCTGTCATGATTCAGGATTTTAAATTCTGGAAATTGTTGATGTTTTTTACTTTTTGAATTCAGCTGTCCATTCTTCTTGGCTTGTGTGTGTGGCTTTATCTCGGCATCCCATTCTTCTCCGCATCCCTTTCTTCTCAGCTTGTGGGTAGCTTCAACTCTTTTATTAAATGCCAGTCTACCATTGAGAGGTTAGACTCCGTCAGCTTAGTTACTCTTTCAAGAATAACTATTTCAGCTGCTGTTCCACTGCCCATCAGAAGCCATCAGTCCACTGCCTGTTCAGCTGCCTTTGAAGAAAAGGGCACTGTACCTTTTCCGGATTGCAAAGGCCACTTCAGGGATAGTGCCATATTGTCCTGGCCTCAGAAGGTGCCTTTTGTTAAAGCCACAACCACACTTCTCCTGGCAAGAATCGGTAGTCCTTTGTTTCATGTCCTGTCTGTTCATTTTGTCCTGTTTGTCAGTAGTTGATTCGAGGATGCTTTGTTGTTCAGTGGCTAACTTTTGCCACAATGAAAGTTAACTCCATATGCAGTTTCTTCAATGCCCATATTTTCTCTGAAGTAGATTGGTACTGCCAAGAGCTGACATGTCTCATAGTCATAACAATAAAAGAAAAATTTTCTAAGTTATTAAAACATTTTAAATGCCATATTCAGATCTCTGAAGGGTTTGGAGATGACTTGTCTATCTAAAATATATCTGCTCAATCTTGAAAACACACCTAATATGACTACAAGTTCCATTGTAATGTCTAACTACTAACTTTCATTTCTTTATATCCTAATAGTTGGTAATAATAACATTCAAGGATCAGCAAATTGCATTACATTGTTAAATGAATGGTATAAGTACAATATCTTGAACAAGATTAGAAATATATATATATATAGCATTTTCTAACAATATCAATCTCAATATATATTTGTATACAATATACAAAAATCTAATCCAGTGTTAAGTATTGTGATCAGGATTAAGGGCATGTGCTACCACTGCCAGACTTATGCTTTGGCTTACTATTAGCTCTGATCCCCAGGTAACTTCATTTATTAACATACAAATAAAATCACATTTTAGCACAAATAAAATATCACCATAACAATCTAGGAATTTTGGTGATTTTCATACTCACACACATACACACACACACACACACACACACACACACGCTACATATATATGTCAAAATTCAGCAAAACTTGACACATATATTTTAACATGTATATGAACTTATATGTGTCAATATATATGTAAAAATCACCAAAATTTGACACATATATATTTGATACACACATATATATTGACATACATATATGTACATATAAAATGAACTAGCATAATAATAAAATAGAGCCTAATAGTGAAACTCCACTCAAGATTTCTATTTTGCTTGACTTGTTTTAGTTCCCATACAAACTCACATTAAAAACATCCAACATAGTTTGCCTTCTTTGTGCTTCACGGCAACTTTATGATGTCTTAGAAAAACTAAGCCACTGGAGAGTCCTATCTTTAGGGCTGTTTTTATTTTAAAAGATGGGTTTACTACTAGGAAAGAGACAGGCGGGTGGTGGAAGGTAGAGTCTGACATTGGGAACGGTTTTGTTCCATTTCTGCTGTGAGGGGATTACTTTAGATCTTTAATGTTGTAAGAACAATGCTATAGTAGAGTTTTCCCATGCTTAAAACTGTTAAGTAGGCTCCTGATTCACAGATACAACACAGGCAACTACATAGTTTCTCATACTCTGCAGAGGTTAAACACAGACCCTGCGCAGAAGACATGTGGATCCATAATGTCCCTGAACCCTGACCTTGACTGAAGGAATAAGTCTAAGTCTTACTTCAAATCACCGGAAGCCGCCCCTGGCCAAGAGCCTGGCCATCTTCTAATACCTGGGTTCCCGTGAGCTGCACTTGGGTTTAATTCCTACTGACCTAGGAAGGAGCATGGGCAGGATATCCAATTACCCCCAGCAACAATTTTGTGTGTTGGTAAAGCATATGGTTCCCATAGTGAAGGTGTATCATACATATGCTTTATGAGCCTGCTCTTTACAGCACCTCCCACCCCCCTTTTATCTTTCTTTGGCAGTTCAGACAAACAGGAGAACTTGGAGGAATAACAGGGCTGATGGCTGAGCAAGCAGCAACATTGTGACTTGCCTACAAACACTCTGCAGTTTTTCAAAGCTTTGTCACGCTCCAGAGGAGTCAGCTGCCACCTGACTCCTTTTAGACGTATTCCTTCAGTCAAGGTTAGGGTTCAGGGACATTATGGATCCACATGGGATTTTTGCAAAAAGAGTTTAGTCAACTCCCAAATGCTTTATCATTTTTTTTTTTTTGATATTTAGTAGGAAGGTACAACAAACTCCAGAGCCTTAAAGAGGAGAGATCGCACAGCTTGGGCTAGAACCAAGGGGCTCAGCTTTCATTCATGTATCATTTTCCTTCTTGGCAGAGGCTTTTCTGAGTATTTGCTATTCATCAGATACTGTGCAAGGTACTGGATCTTGGTGGTTGGTGGTTGGAGCAGCCAAAAGGGTCCCTCCTGGGTACAGTGTTGTGTTGAAGGCCTGAGGGCAGAGGTGATGCTAAGCTGAGGGCTTGGAGGTAGTTTGTTGAAAGGGGGTAGGGTAAGGCTTATAGGGCTTATAGGGCTTCCCGGGCTACAAGTGAGACACTACTACTTCATCCTGGAGTAGAGGGAGGCAGAGGCTTAGGGTTTGAGTCCAGCCCTTCCACTTAACTTTCTAGGCCCCTAGGACCCAGGCCCTGGGACACAGCCAGTCCCCGGGAACCCCCACCCAACTCTACCCCAGTTGCCAGCCAGCAAGAAAAACTCCTGTGGGAAGCTCCCCACCAACCCCCCCCCCCCATCGGACCCTGCAATCCACAAGTCCCACACCCCGCCTCAGTACCCATCTGCCTGTGACCCCAGTAACTTCCTCAGGCATGGAAACCACTTACCTCTCTATTCCATGGATAAAATAACTTTGCCTTCTGGGGCCTCAGTATCACATCTACAAGATGATAAGGGTAAGTATAGGGATTCAAGGGATCTCCTCCTGTTTTCAATAAAATCTAATGCAGATAAGAGGTTGGATATGCTCTCAACAATTATTTGATATTTTTGTCATTGTTCCATCATTAATTGCCATTAAACCACTGGCAAATTTAAACCAAGTAATTTGATCATTTTATTCTGGGACAGTATTGAACATAATGTAGAGAGAGACCAGAGTGGAAATAAGGAGAAGGGTCTGGGGACAGTTGCAGAAATCCAGGAAGTAGCTGACTTTCTGGAATTGAAGAACAGACTCTAGAAAGAAGTAAGACACTGATACTGTGAGGGAAGTTCAAGGGAAAAAGACAAGGCCTCTTGGGAAGGGTTGACATGGAGAGCAGGGGACAGTGAGAGAGAAATCTGTGGTTTCCATCACTTTCAGGTTGTATTTCTTAATGGAGGAAACAGAAATGGAGATGTGGGTTTTTTTTTTTTTTTTTTTTTTTTTTTTTTTT